GATCTCAACCTCTAAATAGTTGAAAGATCTTTAATTAGAGGGATTTTTTATTATTTTAATTGTATAATAAAAATCAATTATTTTTTATTTATAAACTCTATTTTACTTGAATGTCATGTATTTAAATTTAAAATTTTTTATTTTTACATAAAAAAATTACCAATAAACTATTAAAAAGAGTTAGAATTCACAATAAATTTATTTAGCTCAATTCATAAAGTTCACCTGCTTCCCCTTAACACAAGACCTCTAATTTAAAACCAATGAGATTTTTATCTGTACTTTTAGTCTCCTTACCGACACCTGTCTGTTAACGTCCATTTTCATGACCTAAAACAAAAGTATTAGCCATGTCATAATTTGGAAGCAGTAGCATGCTGTTTTAGCCTGGACCCAATTCTGTTCTTACCGCGTTTTTTTTTCTGTTTCTTGGATTAAAGAAACAGAAACCAGTTCTGTGAGTCCCCATTATCTCTTCTTCCTTCTTCTTCCTGTTAGTATAAGAAAAAAAAAGCGTTGTGGGTTTGTTCAGTTCAGTTGGTGCTGGTGCTTACATGTTGTGTTTTTTAACTTCTTTTTCTAAATTACTTTTTTTTTATTCTGTTCAGTAATTGTTAGGGTTTATGTAAATCTTGTTCCTTTACTCCTAAAAATCACAGCTTTATTATTCTCTCTCTACTCAGCTTCCTTGTGATTTGAAGTGCATCTTGCATCTCACCAGATTTCTCCAAAAGGGTATCTCTCTTTCTCATATTTGTCATATTTAAGCTGAGATTTTTATCTCTCTGAATTTATGATTTCATTTTGCTCTTCAATTTAAGTCAATGGAACATTGTTATGCTGTGATATCTGAAAGCCCTTGTCTTTACTTTCTTCTATTGGGTTTTTATTTTTATTATTTATTTATTTATTTTTGGGCTTCATTATTCTCATTTTTCTTTGCTGTCTTGATCTTGATGTCCCGATTCTTTAATTTTATGAGTTTGTTTGAGCACAATGTTTTGTTTACTGTTTAACATTGCTAATTTGGGTATCACAGGGGTTCTGTTCATCCAGGAGTTACCTTATTGCGGATCTCGGTAATGGGGGAGCCATTAGGAATGCTTAAAGTGGTGGTCGTTCAGGGGAAAAGATTGGCAATTCGGGATTTTAAAACCAGTGATCCTTATGTTATAGTCAAACTTGGCAACCAGGTAATCTGGGTTCCATTTCCTTTGGTTGGATTTGTCAATGTTTTGCTGCCTATTAGCATTAAAATGCAGTGAATCATAAAAATTGCCATGTCATAATTTGGGATAGATCTTTGTTCTGGGAAAACCCCATTGACGTTATGTAAGATCACAATCCGCTGCTGTGGTAAGTTGTGATTTACATTTGAGTAAGATCACATTTTCTTTAATATTCTTTCCAAACTTCAACGTCTACAAGAAAAAACATTTTCTGGATTCTCTCACAAAATTTTTGTAACCATTACTGTTAGTGTTTGATGCTGTTCTCTGTGTTCTAACCACTGGTAGAAGAGAATACAATGAAGCAAACAACCATTTAAAATCCTAATTTTGGTAAACTAGGTTGAAAACAGCGCAGAACAGTTGGTTGTGACAAACATCCCGTTTGTTGGCTTTACTGAGAAATTAACTGCTAGAATGATTTATCTTTTGCTTTGATGACTTGTGTAAAACTGTGTTATTTATCTTACTATTTGTTATTACATTATTTTCTTGCCAGTAATTCTTTTAACAAAATTCTGTCTTTTGCATCAGGTTGCAAAGACTAAAGTTATCAACAGTTGCCTTAATCCAGTCTGGAATGAAGAGCTAACTTTCTCCCCCACAGAACCCGTTGGAGTTCTAAATTTGGTGAGTTTCTGATATTTGTGTTCTTAAACAATGAGTTCACCACTCTTATAAAATGAAGTGTTGATGTGTTTTCTAGTTAAGAAAAAATAAAATAGGCATAGGTTTACTCCATCATCCTTCTGCCCCCTTCTTTTATTATTATCTGATCAATCCTGAATGTGTCCTTTAATTCGATCTGTGACATTTTATTTGTGGAATTGCGCATTTCAAGGAGCGACTGCAATAACCATTAATCATCTGATGGTTTGATTAGGATCCATGTTCCATGCCAGCTAGCCGTTTGTTTTGTGTTTGCTTTTATTTTTAAGCATGTTCATGAATCTGCTTGTGTTCAGTTTGGTATGGCTGCTCCCTGTACCTTTCAGCTTTGAGGAGACTGGAACATTCTTACCAAAACCCCATTTTTAGTTGCAATGATATGGTGAACTATATTTTGTGAGTGTGATTTTGTTGATTATTATATTGTGGTTGAAATGCTTTGAAGATTCTAATGACATTCATGGTAGTAGATTTTATGAAATTTACCAAATTGCTTTCTCAACAGGAAGTGTTTGATAAAGACACATTCAAGTCAGATGATAAGATGGGGCATGCTCACTTGAACCTTCAACCACTCGTCTCTGCAAGTCGATTGAAGCAGTTTGTACAAGTTTCTTCTGGCGAGACAACCTTAAGGATGGTTGTCCCTGACAGTGACAACTGCCTGGCAAGGGAGAGCTCTATCTGTTGTATTAATGGTGAAGTAGTCCAGAGCGTCTGGTTGAGGCTTTGTGCAGTTGAGTCTGGAGAGATTGAACTGAAGGTCAAGTTAATTAATCCTTCCAGGTAGTGTAGAATCTTAGATTGGCTCAGTCATAGATTTGTGAATGTCGGGGAAAGAGTGTGAAGTTTAAGTTTGTAGTCTAGTTTTCCCACTTGCAGCGTATGGATTATCAAAGAAATGTTCTCGGTGTCGCTTAGCAATTAGCATTAGGTGAGGGAATAGCTGGTTTGGAACTGTAAATGGGAAGTCATTCCATTTCTTGTATCCTTAATCCACTTTAGAAGCGTGCTTCCAATGTATTTGCATTACTTCTTTTGATTAATTTTAATTGGAGAATGATGAGTATTTGGATGTTATAAACAACCCATTGGACTATCGACCATTCTCTGCAGCTAATTCAAACAAGCACATAGTTTTTTAGTGAGGTGATGTCCAACTTTAAAATAATTTGTAAAGTAATTTATGTATTTACTATTTTATAGGTAATAAGATATTGTAGTCATTAAAAAATAATCTTATAGAACTCACATCAAGACTCTAATAGGGGAAAATGTATCATACCGCCTACCCTTGTGTATTTGCCAGCATTAACTTCAACCATGATCCTATGATAAAACCGAAGAAGATGCACTAGTGACCCCTGCTGCTGGACTCGTAATGTGCATCTCTAACACCCTGATCAATGTTAAGATTTAAATTTTTATTAAGGTAGTTGTAATATTTCCTCATTCTTTTAAAATTCTCCCTGTTAAAAAACAAAAAAGACCTCAAGAAGATTGGCTCTTGTCACGTTGTGTCTACAAAATTGACGCAAGAATCATAATTAGATCAATGTTAAGATTTAAATTTTTATTGGGTAATTGTATTATTTCTTTATTCTCTTAAAATTCTCCCTGTTAAAAAAAAAAAAAAAAAACTCAAGTAGATTGGTTCTTGCATTGTGCCTACAAAATCGATACAAGAATCATAACAGATTAATGTTAAGATTTAAATTTTTATTGGGTAGTTGTATTATTTCTTTATTCTTTTAAAATTCTCCCTGTTAACAAAAAAAAAAAAACACTCAAGTAGATTGGCTCTTGCATTGTGCCTACAAAATCGATACAAGAATCATAACTAGATACCACAACAACAAATAACACCACACTTCACATAAACTAAGCAGCCAAAAACACACCATAGCATTGGTAGTATTGATAATTTTTTGAAGATATAAAATTATATAATGAGATGTCATTTATTTTTTAAATTTTTTAATGCACTTTATCTTCCTATTTTACTATTTGAAATTTTGAATTCACATCCTCTTAATTTTTTTAAAATATCACGTAGAACTTAAATTCTATACTTTTAACTAACATAAAAAAATTTTCACAAGATATTAATACCCATTAAGACACGAGACAGTTCTCGAATTCCCATCCTCTTATTAAAAAAAGGAAAGTACCACTAACAAATAAGCTACATTCAATATTATTTAAGAACAGAACAACCCACAGACTTGAAAAAGGTAAACGTTGGGTCTCATTAATAAAGCATAATCTGTGGGTGACTTGAATAAAAGAAACAAATTAGGTGCTGGCGCGAAAAGTGTAGTCTGTGGATTGCCATTGATGTTGAAACTTAAAGCGGTTTCTGAACCCACAAACCCTAACCCTAGCGATAATGCGAAAAAGACGCAAAGACTCGATCTTGGAAGCGGAAGCGAAGTACTTTACATTCCCAAGTTTCTATCTTACGATGAAGCCTGGAAATTTTTCGATTACCTCAACGACCACATTCCTTGGACCAGGCCTACAATCCGCGTCTTCGGTCGCTCTTGCCTCCAGGTTCTTGCTCCCTTTTCCCCCAACTTTTTTATTTGCTTAATCAATCAAATACATATTTGCTTCCGCGTGCCTCTGATTTTTAGTGTCCTTTGCTTTATGGGTATTCTCTTAGAATGTTGTTACATTTGTCCCTCGGTGGTTCTTGAGATTTAGTTTGCAAAAAGTTATCCTTAATCTGCTGATGTAGGAGAGCTAATCCCAAGTAGGAAATGAGGTTCAATTTTTTCTTTTTCTTTCTCAATTTATCACATGGAAGAAGACAAAGAAGGACCCCATTGCACAAGGAGAAAAAAATTGGAAATTTCTGGTACTGAGTTCTAAATCTGCTGAAGTGGAATTTGGAAGGATGTGATCCCTGTTGCTAAGTTATGTGAGTTTGTTTTCTGGAATTGTGGGCTAGGCTTTCTTTTTAAGATCATCTACAAGTGTTTTGCTTAGTCAAATTGATAGCTTGGTCTTAGGGTAAATAAATTACAGATGTTTATAAAAAATACACTTTTGCTCATGGATGGTTTGTATGGAGAAGTTATGTTTGTACTCTTCCCTTTTGTTTTGATGCTGGTCGTCTCTGATTGTATGGTTCTCCTCCGCAGCCTAGAGACACATGTTATGTTGCAAGTGCAGGATTGCCAGACTTGATTTACAGTGGATATCAGCCAAAAGCTTATTCCTGGGATGATTTTCCTCCACTTAAGGACATCTTGGATGCAGTAAGTGTGCTTATACTTAACATGAAATGATCATCACTCTACTAAAGCATCATCAATGGCATAGTGGCCTGCTTCTCATCTGGTGCATTTGGTTGTTTCTTGAAGGTCCATAAAGCTCTTCCAGGTAGTAGATTTAACAGCTTACTTTTGAATAGATATAAAGGTAGCAATGACTATGTAAGCTGGCATGCTGATGATGAGAAACTTTATGGGCCAGCCCCAGAGATTGCTTCGGTCTCCTTTGGATGTGAACGGGAATTTTTGTTGAAGAAGAAACCTGGTGCATCATCCCAAGGTACAAAAGCATCTTTACTATTAATTAAGAAGGATTTGCTGCTATAGAAATTGAGTTGATTTGTTATTTTTCTATTGAGGTTCTTTTCATAGGTTCTTAGTTGCTTGTACTAAGAAATAATGATTCAAAAATTTCATGTTCTTTTGTTAAGACACTGCAGTTCTTACTTGTTTTAGTTATGTATGATGCTAGAAAGAAGATCTGATGGTGAACCTATGTCCAAGAGAGTAAAGAAGAGCAACCTTGTTGATCAACATTCGTTCACACTAAAGCATGGATCATTGTTGGTAATGAGAGGCCACACTCAGCGTGATTGGCTGCATTCTGTACCTAAGCGTGCAAAGGCAGATGCAACTCGTATTAACCTTACCTTTAGGCATATAGTCTGATGGCTCTTTGGATTTGAAGCAAACCAATTGCCAATTTCAGGCGTGTTTGTTTATTACTATGTTATCCATGTTTTTAATCCTGAAGAGAAGGCATGTATGCTTTTCCTGATATGAATTTTAAAAGGTTCATGTTGAGCCTTTTGTTTTCGGTTAAATCTTTTTCCATGACCTGAGTGCCACTTATTTCTTCAATCATCATACATCGGAGGAAAATTCATTTGTGGCCTTAAGTATAGATGTTAGCTAGATGTATATGGGAGGCAGATTGATGGAATTTATGGAAATGAAGTTGAGAGGTTCCCTTAAAGGCTTATTTATATATTTTCATGCTTTAATATTACAATAAAAAAAAATAAAATTAATATTTTGAGATTTATTTCCGTATATAATTTTTTTGTCTATAACTTTTTCTTCTTACACTATTTACTTGATTTTTTCTATGTGAAATACTTAACAATTTTCTTATTAACTTTGTATATATGAATTTTTTACCAATAATGAAAAGGTTAATAATCTAATAAAAAAATATTGTATTATCTAAATTGCATTAAAGTCAATAACGCTTATATTACTCTTAATTTTAAGATTTCTTTAATCTAATAATCTTTATTTTATTTTCTATCAACTTTTATTTTACAATTTATTAGAAAATATGAATAAGATTATTGTTACATCATAAATAATTAATGTTACATCTTGTTAATGTTATTGTCTATTACATCTCTATATTACATTTTTTCTTAAAAGTTTATATTTTTTTTCTTTCTTAAAAAATTGAAAAATATAATAATTAATTAAGATAAAAATATAGAATATTAATAATTAAAAATATAATAATAATATCACCCAAAAAAAATATAATACAAACCAAGGGACTCCAATAAAATTTTAACTTTATATACAATACTTTCCCAAATCAGTTTCCTACTGTAAAGTTTTGGATAAGATCAAGCATATCATTAGCTTGTTATAAAATGATATTTCATCACTACTCTCTTCTTTCGTACATTCTGAAATATTGTAGGAAACGGGCAACCCACTCTGTTTCTTGCTTCTCCCCGGAACCGCTAGCTATGGCTCGTCAATCGTCGTCAGATTCTATTAGACCTCGAGGTTCTTTCTCTTTCTCTTTTCTCTTGCTTGCTTCTCTGTCAAGTTCTCTCCTTTCATTTCAAATTCTGAATCTTTTTGATTTTTGCATCAATTTATCATTTCTAGCTTCACCTTCAATAATTCTAATGAAACTAAGTTTATGTGACTAATTGAGTGATGCTACCCTGAAATTTAAGCCTTGAATTTCACTCATATGCTTCTTCTTCAACTGCTTTCTTGCTCAATCCATGGGTCTTAATTCGGGTATTGCATCATGGTTGTGCTTTGATATAGTCGGTGATGATGCAATTTAGCTTTACTCAATTTGATTTTGCTTGGTGTAGATGTTTGTATTGTGGGTGTCGCTCGTACACCACTGGGTGGGTTCCTAGGTTCCCTTTCATCTTTCTCTGCTACTAAGCTGGGATCCGTAGCAATCCAGTGTAAGATCCTAAACATAATTTTCTTAATGTTTTTATTTTCTTTTTTTCATGTAACCCATCAAACCAATTTTGCTTGCACTGTTTTTTACAATTCATTTTCAATATGGATATGAAGGTGCCCTTAAGAGAGCAAAGGTTGACCCATCACTAGTGCAAGAGGTTTTCTTTGGGAATGTTCTCAGTGCTAACTTAGGGCAAGCTCCTGCTAGACAAGCTGCCTTGGGTGCTGGTATTCCTAATTCAGTGGTCTGCACCACTGTTAACAAAGTTTGTTCATCCGGTATGAAAGGTATGGCTCATTTATACAGGTAGCTACAGTGTCTAAATATGTGTATATTTTTTATGGTTCATGTCACGTTCTTCAACCTCTCTGTACCAGCGGTAATGCTTGCATCACAAAGCATCCAATTAGGCACCAATGACGTGGTCGTGGCTGGTGGCATGGAAAGCATGTCTAATGCACCAAAGTATTTAGCAGCTGCAAGGTGAGCATTTGTTTTACTGGATGAACCTTGAAATTTCAGTTAATACTTTGCTTGATTTAACATTAAAATTATTTGAAGGATACTCTATGGTTTTTTTGTACCCTATGCCATACTTGATTCAATGTTAATGTTTTTTACTTGATAAGCACGTATTGAGGTCTATCATCTGTGTTGTTCCTGTTTTAAGTCACTTAAAAGTTAAAATCTCCACCCTTAATTTATGACCAGAACGGGGTCTCGTATGGGACACGATACCATTGTTGATGGCATGATCAAAGATGGATTGTGGGATGTATATAATGACTTTTCTATGGGAGTATGTGCAGAATTATGTGCTGTTCAGCATAGTATAACGCGAGAAGAGCAGGTATTGTTATCTTGAAATCCATGTGTTTCACATTCCTATGTCTTCCTCTGTTCTAAACAAGAGCTAATCAGTGTCAATTGGCTCAGAACCTTTATTTAAAATTGAAAAAATGGGTCTGAAAGTTCTTGTGTATGTTTGAATTCACTTCTTGTGTCGCTTTTTTTTCTTTACTTCAACATGCTTTACTGTTCTTAAATTCTTCCTTAGTGGCTTTTGCATATTAAATTTTTGTATTTATTCAAGTGTTCTACTGTATGTATTACCTGTTCTTTCTCACAGGATTCTTATGCTATTCGGAGCTTTGAGTGTGGAATTTCTGCTCAAAATAATGGCCTATTTTCTTGGGAAATAGTTCCGGTGAGGTTCTGATCCCACAGTGATAGTAGGAAAAGCTTTGAAGTTTCTGAGGTACTGAACATTAGTCATGATATTTTCTGCAGGTTGAAGTTTCTGGGGTTAGAGGGAAACCATCTATGATTGTAGATAAGGACGAAAGTTTAGGAAAGGTAAAGGGAAAGAAGAGGCTGAGGGATTAGCTTTCTTAAATCGTATGCCCCCCTTATGCTATAATTTAACATTTTCAGTCGCTCTTAACTGAACAGAAAGAAGGTTCCTACTGAAATAATTGTTTGCCATATAACTGCTTACTGGCTTTGTGATTGCTATGATGTCCATGAATTAGTTTAGTTACAACAATGTAACTTCCATTTTTAATCACCAAATAATGGTTATGGCCTTATTGGGCATGCTTTAAGCAATTTATTACATGCTGCAGTACTGATCTTCTTTTCTTCTTTTACTGTATTGTTCTAGTTTGATGCTGTAAAGTTGAGGAAGCTTAGACCAAGCTTTAAGGAGAATGGTGGAACTGTTACTGCAGGCAATGCTTCTATAATTAGGTATTCTCTCTCTGTCTCCATCATTTTAATGGATTTATTTTGTCTGTCTACCCATGCCTTGTTGTTGGCCAATTGTTTAACAGCTCAGTTTTAGTATTGCACAGCAACACCACTGTTTGAAGGGATTAAGCATGTCTTTGCTCTTTCATGTTTCTTCTATGTTTAATGTAATAAATTCATTCCAAGAAACTTGGATAAGAACCTTGAACCACCAATTTACTGCCTCATGGTTGCTTTAGGAAGGACTGTGTGTTTGCTATAAAATAAAATAAAATGTAAGGCTAAGCTTTTGGTATGAGGGATATCTTCCCACTTTCAGGCATAAAATGTTAGTGATATATCACAACAAAATTCGTTCTTGAACATTACGTCTAATATGGGCTAGAGTATCTTTATTTACAGTGATGGTGCAGCAGCATTGGTGCTAGTGAGCGGGGAGAAGGCTCTTAAACTTGGTTTGCAAGTAATTGCTAAGATAAGAGGATTTGCTGATGCTGCTCAGGTGCTTAGATAATATCCTTTATATTTTATCTTGCACTGACTTTGAGATTATTGCTGAAGAATCTTGTCCTGCCAGGCACCTGAATTATTTCCTACTGCTCCAGCCCTTGCAATACCAAAAGCTATTTCAAATGCTGGTTTGGAGACTTCTCAAATTGATTATTATGAAATAAATGAAGCCTTTTCGGTATGAAAATATGCTTTGACCATTTTCTTCTACCTGTATCTTATTAATTTTCTGTTTCACAGCAAGTTATGTTCTTTTTTCTCTCTGCAGGTTGTGGCTCTTGCCAATCAAAAACTGCTTGGCCTTAATCCAGTAAGTTTTCAGTTGTCTTTTATAATCTGAAGTAGATTTTTTTCCCCCCTGCAATTTATGACTGACTTGTATTTTGTCTGTTTCATTGTGTTTTTAAGCTTTATATTTGTTTTACATAATTTTCCATGGTACATCTTACCATTCCAAACCTGTATCAAATGCAGGAAAAGGTTAATGTGCATGGTGGGGCTGTATCTTTGGGTCATCCAATTGGATGCAGTGGAGCTCGGATATTGGTGACATTGTTAGGGGTAACTCATAAAAACTGAACTTGTTCTCTTATTACCTTCTACCTCCTTTCCAATAACTTGAGCAAATACAGCTGCATACTCCCCTGAACCTCTATGTTGCTTGCCACGTCTATGGTGGCTTAGTGAACCACTTGGTTGCTTATCTTCTAAATATGGAAAACACATCAAACATTGTTACCGTATATAATTTTCTTTGGAAAGCATCTCAACCAATTCTTATTATATTACAGGTGCTGAGACATAAGAATGGGAGGTTTGGGGTTGGTGGAGTCTGCAATGGAGGAGGAGGGGCATCTGCACTCGTCGTTGAACTCATGTAAGTCCTCTATAATATTTATGCTCAATTTACTTGAGAACTTCCTAATCAAATACATTACTATTATTATACCCTACAACTTCTTCAAAGAAAACTAGTTTACTGAAGTTAAATAAAAGAAATCTAGTTTCTCATCTATTAGCAGTTTTCAATACTGGATAATTGATCGTCATCTCGCCACACTAATTCAGTGTGTTCCATTCAATAACTTACTGCTGATGGCACTTGATCATCCTAGCTGTTCGACACAATAGTTGCATTTAAAGAAAACTGGCCCTAGAAAACATTGTCTCGAGGAAATAAATACTTGTCTATCTTCAACCAGGACAATTATAGTCTAGTGATTAAACTTATCAAATGGGGAAATTTTCATGTTCACATCCCAGAACCTGTTGTTTGTTTGAATTAGGAAGACTTTGTAACTTTAACCTGTGATAACTTCTTAAGAATTACTTCTGTGGAAAGAGCGTTATTAAGTTCTAGTAATAAAGAAATCTCACTTTTTGCAGGCGAGTTGCAAGTGTGGGACGTTCCAGGTTATAAAATCAGTTTGCATTCTCCATTATCATACCATCATTCAATTTTATTTTTGTTTCTTTTTTCAAATCAATGGAATAAAAAGTGAACGAGTATGTATCAAATGTTACAAAGATATAAATAAAGTTTGTTACTTGTTCATCTTAATTATTATGATAAATACTCCCTCGGTCCCTCCCCTTAATTTTAATCAATCTAGTTTTATATTTGAGGCATTTAAATTTAAGTGCTTATTTTTCTCTTTTTAGAATGATATTTAATGCGGTTATTTTTATTTTATCTTTATTTTACAAGATAATTATAATATGTATTAAATAAGAATTATTATTTAAGTGGTACTTCTTCTATCTCATAATAACTATAGTTTTTTTAATTTTTTCTCTAAATTGAGAAGTTAGGGAAAATTATGTATTTATTTATATTAATCTTAAAAAAATAAAAATTAAAATAATACTTTTTATGATAAGATAACTGATCAAAATAAATAA